CTGGATGTAGCTGCTCTTCTGGACACCCAAAGCATCATTCCCATGGCAGATTCCTTACTGAAATTTTTACACTTTACTTACTGGATTCAGTACAGCAGCATTCAGCAGGCAATTCCTCCATCTCTGTGCCAACACACTTTTGGAATAGAAAGTCCTGCATGCTGCTGAAAAACCCTAAAATAAATTATAGTTCTGCCAGGGAAACACATCTAGACAAAATATTGCACCTTGGCTACCTCCTCACAGATGTCTTTAAAATGATCCTTGGGAGTATTGATTTTTTTCCTCCCCCATAAATTGTATTTCCCATTGGTTCCAGTATAATGGGCCATAGATTTCCCAGAGAGCACCAGAGCTCCTGTTTGCTGGCCTGTTTCTCCACCCTCTCAGACAATTCAAAGGCCCCAGCAGAAGAGATGAGCTTCTCCCCTGCCACAGAGAATTATTAGTCCCTCCTGGAAAGGAGGGCTTTGGAAAAGCTTTCCCAGTAATTCACTAGGTCAAGGAAAACAACCTGGTCCCAAGGGAAATGGGACCAGGTCCCTCACAAACCACCCCAAAATATCCTGGCCCCCCTGGCCTCGCTCACAGCCTCTGGTTCCAAGGGACAAATGCTGGAGCATCAGGAAAAAACCTGTCAAAATAGAGGCTGACAGTCTGAGCAATGTGGACACCTTTGATCCTTCGAAGTGTGTTCTTCAAGGAAACCTCATCTTCAGCCTGAACTGGAAATAAAACATTCAAAAAGCAAAATTCTCCATGGTACCCGGATGTCACTTAGCCTGTTCTGCTTTGACAAAATCTAAATACTCCATTTCTTGCTTTGACTCTGTATCTCATTGTCTACTCTTAAATAGCTGCAAGATAAAACGACTTAATTTCCTTCTGACTCTGGTAGGGTCGTGTCATTCTGATAAAGCCAAAATACTTCATCTTCTGCAGGACACTCAGCTTCTGACAAAACACTGCCTTCCAGTGCACAGGAATCTCAACATTTTTGGCCAGCTGTGATAATCACAAACAAGCCAGGACCTGATATGTAACATCCTTAATAGAGGGGGATCTCTCTTGTTAAATGCATCACTAAATTGAATTTGCTGAGCAATACATCCCACTGACAGCCTCCACACGTGCCAGCACAGCTTTCCAGGACTCTGCTGCAGATCTGGGTTACCTTTGGCCAACAACACAGGTTTGCAAAATCACAGAGAAGTTTCAGCTGGAAGGGACCCTGGAGATCGTCTTGGCCAACCTTGTGTTGAAAGCAGGGCCTTAGATGAGGTTATCCACAGCCCTGGCAAACCAAGTTCTTGAATATCTACAGCCAGGAAGATTCCACTGCTTCTCCAGGCAGTTTATCCCAGTGTCCCAAGTGGTCCCAAAGTCAAGAAATTGCTTCTAAAATTCAGATAAAAATACCCTGAAGCAACTGTTACCTCTTCCCCTTGTTCTCTCAGCACTGTGTCCATCTTCTCTCTCCTCGAGGAGCCTTATAAAGCTGGTTAACAGGGAAATCTGATAAAAGGGGATAAAAAAGACTTGTTCCACAGAATCTGTTGCATTTAGCTGTTTGTAAACATTCAGGACTCGTGAAATCAACAAAATCTCAGAAGTACAGACATTGTCAGAGGTGCAGGAGTGACAGTCCTGCCAAGAACAAAATGTTGGAGGTACCTTATGCTTCATCCCAACAAACTTATTACATTTCCTGCGGAAAAATCAATCAATTTTTTCTAATTATTAGATCAAATTATACAACTACAGAACTTCCTGATTACAGAATGGACAGATGACCTTTCAAAAACAGGTGCTGGTTGATTTTTTATCCCCTTTCTGTGGCTGGGATATTTTCCTTATGAATAGCAATTATTTCCTTTTTTTCCTCTCAAGTACATTTGGCCACTTAAAAAAATGTAAATAAAACTAAAACAGATTAAAGTTCCAAGGACTTGTCTTCTGACAATTCTTTGCTTTTCCTAAACAGACACACACTTAAAATTTCCTGGACTGCAGAAAAATCTCTAAAGCTCATCACTGCTATTAACCTTCTCTTGGTTTAATTTATCACTTTGGGGTCACTGAACCTTTCACTAAAATGATGCTCTCTAAACCTCAGCGTTCTGTGGTGCTTTTTTTCTCAAGAGCTAGACATGAAAATTGCTACATTGTGCACACAGCTTTGCTCATCTTGCTTCCAGAAACAAAAAAGTCGAGGAAACAAAAATTTGTCTTCAGACAAATTTGAAACTCGTAACACAGCTCAACTCTTACTTTTGTAAAGGCAAAACGAACCAGATATTGGATGGTGTAACACCAACAGAAAAAAGAACAAGCTATATTCATATCTGATGTATACAGCCTGTGCCACTGGGTATATCATAGCAAAAAACTGCAGTCTTGTGTGATATATATCACCCCTGCTACTTGCTAAATTACAGTAAAAAAAGTGGAAACCCTCCAAAACAGACAATATGAACTTGTTTATGGATTTGAGCTGTAACAAACCTCATTTTGACATCATTTTCCCATATATTACACAGAGCTGATTCACATCAGTACCTAAAGGAGGGACAAGAAACAAGGAAGTGCTGAAGGGAACTGATTACACGCAGAACACAGCCCTCATTATTGTCCACATCAATATAAATCCACTTCTGACAAAATGCAATCTCCATTACTGCTCCTATTAATGGCAACTTTATTTTCAGACAAGACAGCAATCCCAAATCCTCAACCCTTCTACTCATGAACAATCCAAAGGTAGGATTTCCCCTTTGAATAAATTTCACGTCCAGATTTTCTCTTCTGCTGCCTTCTTTCCTCTTGCAGCTCCATACAGAGGATATTCTGCTTCTCCCCTCCAAAAATGAGGCTTCTGTGCCCTGCTCTAGAGCCAGGGTTTCCACAGAAGGAAATCAGTCAGCAGGCAGTGGAGAAGAAAGTCTTCAGACATCAGGAAAGAATAAAAACTTAATCCAGTGATTACAGTAGAAAATTAAGAAAATGACATAACAGACTTCAGATAACATTTGTGGAACTGTGGAATACCTCCAAGGTGCAAACCTAACTCTCTGAGACCTAAAAAATGAACATAGCAAAACCAAATCACCTGTTTGGAACAAAATCAGGGCAACAAATTTACATAAATTAACAGCACCTTTACACCACATTTCCTCACTCAGCTCCTTTTAGAGCAGTCTGTTCTGCTGTGGTTATAGACCAACTCGTGTCTTTCCTTACTTCAAGAACCTTCTTCAAAATGTTATTTTCTTTTTTTTTTCTTTTTTTTTTTTGGAGTGGAACAACTCTGCTTTTTGGACCTTATAAGAAAAAGTTTCTTGTGAAAGGATTTGGTTTTGATAAGAACAAATCAGGGCAACAAATTTACATAAATTAACCACACCACCTTTCCACTGCATTTCTGCATGTTTTCACCCTGTTATTTTAAAAAGGTATCAAAGTAGTGGAGATGCACTTAAATCCATTTCAAAACAAGCAGAGCAAGATTCAGGATCTTCTGAGAGCCTTTAAAAAAATCTTAAAACCAGACGTGTCATTACAAACATTGTGGTTTCTGTCACAGTAGCCACCGTTGCTGTTAACAGTAATAGAGGTTGTGGGGAAAGGGAATTATGGTTTCCAGTGAAGTCAGTGGGAATTTTCCAATCAGATAATTCTTAATTGAAAACCACCAGCTTTTAACGAGAACTTTTTTAGAAAGTTTCTTAGGGCTGCCATGGGGTTTTCAGTCAGAGCAGAAAGAGGCAGAAAGGAACCAAAGAACAGTTTGGTGTCTGGAGCACTTCCAGAGCACGTGGTGATGATCACATCCAACATCCCTCTCCGGGCTAACCTGCAGCAAAACGTGACCATAAAGTTCCTATTTCTGCCTCCAGCACAGGCAAATCAACACAAATAAATTCTGGGGTGTCCTCCTTCTGTTTTCAAGTTTAAAAAAAGGAAAAAAATACAACAGAAAACTTTGAAACTCTTGCCGTGTTGCCTCTTTCCATCTGTTATTATTTTTTTTTAAAAATCTCCCATGCGAATAGTCCTTCAGCCTCTCCAGAAAAAATCAGAAACCTCACTAATTAAAGGATACAGCCTAAATAAAAAGAGAACTTACTTTGGGTCTACATTATGAACACTTCAAGCCATTTCCCACCAAAGACTGTACAAATGTTTACTCAAATAACCCATGCTCTTCATGAGTAGACATTTTATGAGATAGAGGTGAAGGCATTATTCCTGAAAGGATTGCTTTGTAATATAGGATCTATGATAAGATCTAAAGGAAGCTTTTCTGGACGTGTTCCATCACTTGATGTTCAGGAAACCATTTTGTATGACACAAAGGATTAGGAAAAATAAGCTGCATGACATTTATTTTGTAATTTTAACATTAATATCTGTAGAAACATTTTATTGTCAGTACAAAAGTTAACAGATTTTAATACTTATTTTACCCAATTAAAAAAAAATTATCAAAAAAAAAAAAAGGAAAACAAAACAAAAACAAAACAACCACACCACCACATAAAACAGTGAAATTTGCATTCATATTCCATGGCCATATCAACGTGAATGCTCTGAAAATACAAGACTCTGTAAAAAAAAAAAAAAAAAAAGATACAAACAACAGTGATATTCTAGCAGAGGCCAGTGCTACACCTACTGTTATGGAATGGTTCAGAAGGAAATACTGGAGTCAGCATGAATTAATCCCCTAAAAATACACTGATATTCCTGTGGCAAGTTCTCATTATAAACAACTTCTCTCTTTTTAACTTAAGTTACAATAGAGGGATAAAGGCAAAAGATCCAGGCCAAAAGGTCTGGAACCTATTATCCAACTGAGGCAAGAGAATTGTAGATAATTTGATGCATGTGCAACTCAGGGTAGAAGCTCAGCTCCTTTTAGAGCAGTCTGTTCTGCTGTGGTTATAGACCAACTCATGCCTTTCCTTACTTCAAGAACCTTCTTCAAAATGTTATTTTCTTTTTTTTTTTTTGGAGTGGAACAACTCTGCTTTTTGGACCTTATAAGAAAAAAGAGTTTCTTGTTAAAGGATTTGGTTTTGATAAGAACAATCATCTGACGCTGCAGTTTTTAAACACAAATAAATTGAAAGTTTAATTCCCCCAAATTAGTTATATACTGTAAATATTTATTTTCTTAAAGATCTGAAAACTAGTAAAGTCTGAGCAATATACCTACTAGTCCTCTGTGCTGCCTGCATAGAAATGCCATTTAAATTACAAAAACACAACAACCCTATAAACGATTAACTGTTTTGTACATTACCAATTAGTTAATAAATTAATGATATACCATTTTCCCTGAAAGCAAAGTATTTTCCACCTTTGGATGGTGAAAATTTAGATATTCTGTGTAAGAACAGCATTTAGCAAATAGCTGTTAAAAAAGAGACTAATTTGCTAGGTGGATTGGGACATCCATTTTTTAAATCAATACAAAAAATAATTCATTGTAAATATATATAATATATATTTATACATATTTTTGAATATATTTACATACATCCAGCACCTATATACTGCATTTGTGCTCTGTAAGTGTGTGCCAACATATATTTTCTCCAAATATTACAAAATAAACAAGAAAGGCAGACCCAGAGTTTGCCTCAAGTCCAACTGGTCCATTGTACAAACAAAGTCTGTTGCAGCTCGCAGGAAGCCAGAAAGTTGATAGCAATGGGTATCTAGAAACAGCTCATAAACATTCTTCTTTCTTGGGAACATCTGAAAGCTGCAAGTAATGAGAATCTTTATGTAGGTTCTGACCGCTTTCCTCCAAATTTTTTTTTTTTTTTCCTTTTCCTTCTTTTTAGTTTTTTCTTTTCCCACATTTCCTATGTACAAGCAGAAACATGAAGGTCCTGGAGAAAAGCTTTTGCTTTGCATACTGTAGGTAGCTCGATGTTCTTGCCTCTTTGCTGCTCTTTTCATGTTTTCACACTCCCGTTCATGTGCTGGTACTTGGGGAGACAAGGTTCGTAAGGCATCGGGTCGGGAGAGAACACGGAGTCGTCCCCCGAGGAACACGAGCTCCTCGTGTCGGGGTAGCTGGGTGAATACTGCTCCAGAGGCCCACTCAGGTCCAGATACTCCTGTGGCAAGAGGAATAAAAGCTGGTTTTAGTCAGTGAAGAGGACTGACAAGAGCACGTCACCGCCGCTCGGGTTTTGGGACGGAGCGGTTTGAAAAATGACGCTCGGTTCCGTGAACCAACTGCATTCGAAACTGCCTTGTTGCTTAAATACCTCATAAAACAAGGAGCTCGACTAGGGAAAGAAAAACCAAGCCAATAACACGGTATTTTCTGAAGTCCAACATCACCAGCATTAGCTGTGTCAGTGGGAATAAACATGGCAACCACATCAAAAGAGGGCTTTTCACTCGCAATGATAAAAATTAAATTTCATCCTAAATAGAACCATTTTTCTCTAGCACATGGTAGTGATTTGGAGAGGGAAAGACGCTTCCAACTTTGTATTCCTTTGGTCACTTTGAATCTCTGTTTTATATTCTGTGATATTAAATTTGTGTTTCAACATGCAGTGGCATACGTGCAAAAAAGATCTGAAAGAAAAACAAAATCAAATTCACACGATTTGGGTTTTTTACACTACATATTTGTGTGTTGTGCGTCCCGGAGTAGCCATGACCAAAGCAGTCATTAAAAAAGGAAATATCATCTGCTGAATCCAAGTTTTGGGTTAAGGCTCTTTTGCTAGAAACAACAGTTTTGGCAAGAGAATAAAGTTATTTTTCCCCTTGAAATGTTCCTTCTCTTTCAACTTCTAAAGGCAGCTGCATTCATTTAAATGCAATCTCTTCATTTGCTAAACCACAAGTTATGACCGTACTGACGAGACGAGTCTTCCACCTCAGTCACTATTTTATGCTGCCATGCTTAGGTTTGGGGTAATTTAGTCCTTTGGCTAACATTCCTTTTTTAAGTCAGAGATTCATCATTACCATCTTACAGTTAACAAATGGTCACCATTTTAAAAGAAGGGTGTGGTATGCAAGTTTTAAAATGCTGGAAAATTCAATAGGGAGCAAAAGGAGGGAGTTTGGATTTATTGATTATTGACTATGTGGCTGCCCACGCTCTTGAAAAACCCACCAGGGCAATCCTGATACATATTTTATCCTGATACGTATTTATGGATTAGCAAATCAGCCCTACGTGAGCAGAAGTAACAGATATTTTCTAAATAGACAGAAGAATAAAACATCCCAGTCTTTGAAGATACAGGGCTTTCCCAGGGTCCATCAGACATAGCTCATCGTATCAGAAGATGTGGTGTGGCCCAGATATGAATTGAGTATTGAAGACAGGATCCTTATCCAGTGTCCACAGCCAGGGACACACCAAGGGGCAAAAGAACCAGCACCAGGCTGGTTTCTGGTGTTAACAAAGCAATGCAGCCACAAGGCTGACTCCTGGTGACTTCTGCTCAAGTGGGCCACAGAAACACGGGAGTGAGAGACTTTAGGGGGAAAAAACCCAGCAAGGAAACACATAAAAACCGCAACAAGTGATGATTCAACGTGGAAAAGAGTGAGACGTTACTATTTAAGCAGAAATCATTACTTGCACAAAAGCAGAAGAAATTATTGGCTGCCCCAGCAAACTGAGTTGTTGGGTAAATCAGATTGAGCCTGGGCCAAAAATGTGATTCTGGGGGGAAAGGGAGAGTGGGGAGAGGAGAAGCAGAAGCGAGCCTGGAGGACCTGCACTTGAGGAAAAGTGCACAGGTTACAGAATCAGCGATCTCCAAAGCTGTGGAGGAAAATGGGCCACGCTGGAGCTCTCAGGAGACACCGAGATGACAACAGGCGTGTGAAGACAAGTGGAATGATTTGCTTTCTATGTCCAGGGTAAATAGGACAAAAGCAATATCTGATGTTGAAAGATTAGAGATTAGGAAAACAAAGCAACAGGCTGTCAAGAGGCGATGCCAAAATACAGCAGTGGAGATCTGTGAGGACAAGTTACATAAACATCTGTCAGCAATGACAAACGTATAGTGGGCCCTGCCATAGGCCCATCAGATGGACTGGATGTGTTCCTAAGCTTCTTCCAGACATTTTTCCTATGATTCTAGTCTAAAGTAATTTACATAACCCTAAAGGCCTTTTCAGGTTAACTTTGAGATCATTCCAGGTCTATGAGCAGTACGGAGTTGGGAAGGCTCGACGGTTAAACACATGCGAAAAGAAAGCAATATCCTTTCCCAGGCTTGGAATTGCAGCCCAGAACCTCCCTCCTGAATTTGCAAACACAAATCCAGTCCAAGCCACCCAGCACTTCACAGTGGCAGCCAGCCCACCTCCAACTAGCCTTGTGAAATCATATATGAATTAGGCAGGAAAAGATGCAGGCAGTGCTGGATGAGGCGAAAATGGTAACAGGACACAGAGCTACATCCATCACTCCATAGGGAGAGCACAGTCCTGCCACATCTCTCAGCCAGCCCTGAAGGTGCCACTTCTTAGAGCAAGCTTTAAAAATGTTTTTTTTATTTTTATTTAAAAAATTACAGCTGCTACTGAAGCCAAAGAATCTTTTTCAAACAGATCTGTTGGGGAAATGATGATCATAAAAAATGCCATCTCTTTACTCAGGTTCTCCTGTCATCTCCATTGCCAAAAGGCTTTCCCAAAGCTGCTCCATAATTTATTTATCTCTCTGACAATTCTAAAAAACTAGACCATAATGTTGAGGAGCCACCTAGAGTGATTCAAATCTCTTTTTTTTCTACAAAGAAGCAATAACAAGTACGAAAATCTTGTTTTGAAATGGTCAAATCAAGTTGTTGCAACTTTCCTGTGTAACTGCTTTGTTTTTTTTTTTGCTCCCATTAAACATTTCATTTCTCAGAAGTAACAGCAGTATGTAGAATATTTCTGGGACACCAAGTATTTTCTCTCAAAAGAAATTTCCACCAGAAGAATCAACATTTCCATCACTTGTGATTTTCCTCAAAGGTGCACGTGGTTCAGAGGACTGATTCCTGTGTGAATACCCTAATCAGTGTGTTCCTTGCTAAAACTAATAATATCTCAGACCTCTGAAAGAACACTCTTCAAATAAAACCTTTCTGCATTCACATACACCAACCTGAAGCAGTGCTAGGCAGGACCTTTGGATAATTGGATGGCTGTTTGCACATCCCCCCTGGGTCCTCATTCCCTCCACAGAGAGCTATTTCAGTGAACCTAATTCACTCTCAGACACATCATCTGAAATCTGCCATTGACGATTTCTCCTCTTCTGACCTACATAGCATGGCTGGGAATCAAACTGAGCTGGCAAATGAGAACCACCACGAGCTCCACGTACCTCCCTCACCTGCAGCTCCTGCTGAAACACAAACACTGCCCCTCAACCTGCCACATGCAGTCCCTTGACAAAACATCCCGAGATGCAGTGAGGAATAAATGAAAACTCCTCAAAGATGTGTTTCTTTTTAGTTACATAATTCCAGGCATAATGGCAAGTGAGTGAGGATTTCATAGGATACACGGTTTAGCTGTGTCAAACCTCAGAGGACAATGACAAACAGAACAAGAAGTGAACTTGAGCAGCATTTCATAATTGAATAAATTCCATCTGTCCCCTGAACCATTTGTCCCGATCAGCAGCTTATGGGGGGGAGACAATTTACCTACCTCATTAGTCGTGAGAGTGAGAATCCGATCCAAGTCCTCCACCAACTGTTTGAAAGTGGGTCTGTGAGAAGGCACAGCATGCCAGCAATCTCTCATCATCATATAGCTGGAAGAAACACACATTTGCTTGGCTTAATTAAAATTACACATCCTCCTCACAAACCTTTCCATGCACACTCAGTGCTGCCCTTCACAAGGAAAGCAGCGAGCACACACAGCTCTGCTCATGGACCACTGAACCCCCAAACCTCTACTCCTGTCTCTCCCTTGTTCAGTGTCTGAATTACCTTTTTGTGGGCCCAATCCTGTGGCCCAGGAACTTCAAAGGTATTAAATTACAATATTTTTTGCATGTCAGGGATTGCAGTCTTTGTGAAGAAATTGAAATGCAAAAAAATTTAAATGTATTTAAAGGTCTGTATTGAAATATCTGAAACCACACTCCCCACATCACCAGGAGATAATGCTGTGTTAACACAGAAGTTCCCAGATGTATTTTGTTGTGTACAAAAGCAGCCTGGTGTACCTCACATTTGATTAGTGGCATGTGCAACATTTATGAATTTCCACGTTAGTAACATTAAAATCAAAAATTTATGGGTGTAAAAACACTGACAGAGACTGGCTTGTAGATGATTTCTTCTCTCTGCAATAGGATCACAGCAGGGTGTGCAAAGAAGCATCCTCTGCCAAACATTTCCTGAAATCCTTCCCATATACCTTTTCCTTACACATCTATACCCTCCAAATATTCTAGAGCCAAGCACTTCTGAAAGTCTTTGATTCTTCTGGGGGCAGCATTAAACAGAATTCAGTACAGCTGTGCCCCTCAGTCCTGCTACAACAGATCAGGGTCCTTACAGCTCGTTGGTGCAGTTGGCAGGTTTATCCATCCGGTGCCCTTCTTTCAGCAGCTTAAAAAGTTCCTCCACTGGGATTCCTGGGTAGGGTGACCCTCCTAAGGTGAAGATCTCCCACATTAACACACCAAACGACCAACTGCAAATCAAAGAGAAAGCTGCATTAGTAGGTCTGCCTGGCTGCTGGGAACAGAGAATCCCACCCCTCCCAGAGGTGTTTAAACCAGCCTCTGCCCAGGTCTGCCTGCCCAGAGCAGGACAGGGGTCTGGGAAGGGCATCAGAGGCATGGGCAGCACTTGGGATGGGGACTGACCCCAGCATGTTCCCAAATACCCTTTTTTCCTCTGTCTGGTGTGCTCTGAGCACCCAGGGGCTACTGCCCAGTACTGCATCTTCACAGCTTAATGACTTACAGAGTGCTCACAGCTCAGCTGGGGTGCAATTATGTGGCAGGATATTTTGGAAAAAGCAGACTGTTCAAAACAAAAATATTTTGCATCACTTTGCTTTTTTTTCTTTTTTCCTTTCTTCTTTCTTTTCTCTTTTGTTGCTAACTTCTGCTAGGAAATGAAGTGGGATAATTTTTCAGCCAGTTTTCCTGCCTCATCCTGCCTGGCTGGCAAGCTGGGGCTCTCTGGCAGGCAGCTCAGCCAGGTGAGCACCAGCACAGAACCTGCTCTGGCTCCCCAGCAGCTCCCCCAGCTCTGCAGCATGGTATTTTAGTAAACTGTTTGCACAAACTTACAATAATATTATCTTTAGCCATCTTCAAAGCCACCATAGGGCCAAGAGTCTCCAAGTCCCAGCACTGAAATCCTCCTGCTCCCTGGCTGCTGAGGAGCTCAGGCTGACTCTCAGTCCCAAGCCAGTGAAGTGGTTTACTTCACATTCACTCAAATATTTTGCCAAGATGTTATTTTAAAACACAAGTTTGGTCCACCCTTAACCTGTGTATATAGCTTCCCTTATAAATGATGTAGAGATTGCAGGAAATGCCTCAGTAAATAGTTTTCTTAAGAAGAGAACAGCTTGGAAACTGCACCCAGGTTAAAGAAAGAAGAGATACTTCCTTATTTTCTCCGTCCTGCCCTTTTCCTTTTTAACCCTGCACTGACTTGCATAACCTTTTGCACCTCTGCTGGGAAGCATCCAGCCCTTTACAATTAACAGCTTTTTATTTGAAAAATAAAGTAACAGGATCTTAACCTCTATTGCATAAAAAATACACATCTACTTCAAGCACAATGCACACAGAACTGTAATAAGAAGCAGAATAAACCCTGAGCAGTTGCATCAGCCAGTGGCTCTGTGCACACATTAAAAGATTTTTGAAGTGTCAGAGTCCAATGATTTCCTATTACATGTGAAGCACTGCTGGGAAGCAGCACCACTTCTGAAAAACAGAGAAAACTCTTCCAGCATACCCAGCCTATGTTTTATTACACCCAATCTTAGCACAGATTTTTATAAGAAGTTTTCAGGAACTTTCTCCTTTTATTTTTTATTCTTTTTTCTCTCTCTTGTTTTCTTTTTTTTTTTTTTTTAAACTTGAAGGAAGTCCAGAGTATGTCAAAAGGCAAGCAAATTAGATAGACTCTTTGTAGCTGCACATCCGTAAATAAGTTCAAGGGGGGAAACTTCCGCAGTGACAGAAGGAGGTTAGCATTTTCCACCTTTCATGTGCTTTGAAGCTGGGCAGATTAGTAACAGAGCACTGGTTAGCAGTCTACCATAAAATCCTCACTTTCTAAGGGCAAGTCCTGTTCCATCCATTAATATGTGAAACAGAATGAAAACTCTTAAAGGTAAAGGACAACAGCAAAACACGTATGAAATACCCCAAACTTTAACAAACACAAAGCAAAACAAGCCCCTCCTTCCCACCCCCAAAACCCCATTGAAATCAGGCCACTTACACATCACTTTGATGTGTGTAAACTCTGTCAAACAGAGCTTCTGGAGCCATCCACTTTACTGGAAGCCGCCCCTGTGAGTTTGGAGGGGAAGAGAAATTAAAATGGCAGCAATTTATGGGATGATTTCTCTTTTTCTCTAAGAGATGTCTGCTAACGCAAACCAACAATAATTAACCTTTAACATTTTCAGTGAGAATATAGTAAGATGGGCTAAAGTACAGAGACAGTTATAAAAATGGATATAAGCATTGAAGATAAAATTAAAAGCATTGAGAGTTCCCAAAAATTTCCCAGACTGCTTGCTAGGAGAATGGTAGGATAAGCAGATCAAAATCGAAAGTATCATTCTGCTATGGTTCTTTAAAGACAAAAAACCCCACAATTAATAAACTTCTGAAAAACAGGCCTGCCTGAAATAATCAATTGATTACTAAAGCCAAGCACTTTGTTTTCCTGTCCCTTTTGCAGTGACCCACAGCTCCCAGTCAGAGCTGCCTGTTGCTTGGGAATTGCACTGAGTCTGAAATGAAGAAGGTTCAATCTCCTCCAACACTGCTGCACATGGTGACTCTGGCTTTTGGAATAGGCAGATGTTACCATTAAAATGCCATTAATCACTTAGTGATTTTCATAAATAAGCCACTTAGCATGATTGTTAATAAGAAGTCATATTTATACAAATAAAATCTGTAGAATCCAATGAGTTCTGCAGAGTTCCCATCAAAACCCAAGTGCAGATCAGCAGGACTTTAAGAGATCCCCTAAGGAGGTGCAAGAAGTTCAAACCAGGTATCAATGCTACATCCCAAATGTTTTATCTTCTTGATTTGGTACAGGTTAAGCAGCAAAACAGTGACAGCGTGGGGAGTACAAAGAAGTTTTCTCTATCTCTAGCCCCACTTTGAGATCACCACTACAACCTGTCCCCAACAAGCTAAGCACAGGCACAGGCAGAAGGCTGAATGTCACATCACCACAAGGAAACAGAATTTTTATTGTGGTTGTTGCTGGCATTGTTTGTACAGCATATTTCAAGATCCTGGGCTGGGTGCTAAACCAGCTGGATCAACAGGAATATTTCCACTTATTTACACTTATTACAACTGACTAAAGTCAGAGACACAATAAAAATAAAATTCTTGTATTTTATTTTAGCATTTCTAACCCTCCAATATTCAGCCTCTTTGCTTATCTTTTTAACCAACTATCACTGTAAGAGGAGACAGAAATGCTCGTGTCCTTGATCTCTGCTTTTTTGTCTGGGATGAAAAGTGAGGCTGTTGTACAAGAAGCCCATTAAGTTTACAACCATAGTTCTGAAATGAATCACTGAAAGAAACCCTTGTTTCCAGAGATTAGAAAACCATCCACTTACATTAGTAGTCTTTTTGTAATAATCTATATTGTTGATGTCTCTGGCTAAACCGAAGTCTGCTATTTTCATGACATTGTTTTCCGTTACCAAAACATTTCTTGCGGCCAAGTCTCGATGGATGCACTGGAAACAAAAAAGAAGAAAAAAAAAAAAACAGCCTACTGAAATCAACTGCTGCAAAAGTGGAAGTGCTTCAACACCATAACTAAATCTTCTTTATAGATTATAACCTAAATGACCAGGTGGGAAAGCCACACATTCACTACAAGCCTGTGAAATATGATTTTCTTAATTATTGCAATTTCCAAGCTGAACAATGGCCCTAAGAGGTGTCTTACAAAGTCCTGGTCTGCTTAAATCTTATATTTTTGCTAAGGCTGAAAGCTGGGTGGTGGCCCAAGTTGTGCCAAGCACTTTGTGAACTATCTCTGTTGCATGTGCCCAGGTACAGGTATTGCAGTTTCATCAGAAATACTGTTAATGAACATTTTTATTGTGTTGTTTCTCTTAAATTATATTGTCTCACCACAGATAAAACCTGACAGTCAGTCTGAACAATTTTTAATATTAAAGATATTAATGTAATTGTCAGCAGGATGTCTAAAGTGTGTATAATTTCTTCAACCACAAGACTATAAAAATGCAGTTATGCAAAGGAAAAGAAGAAAACAAAACAAAACAATCAGGGTTTGACTGTTTGTTTTTAAGACAGCTTTGATACTGAAACGAAACCTATCACCTCCTGAGAGATGTTTCCTTAATGTCAGCATTAGCCTGACACTGAGAGGACTCTGTGACTGCTCTGAGAATTATTCCTGTGTTCAAGTACCTTTATTAGGGTTGATATAAGGTGGCAATGGGGGCATGGTAAGAAACATTGCATTTTGAATCCCAGCAGGATATTTTATTTATTTTCAACTAAAATATATTTTTTCCCCCTCTTTAATTTTTGATAATTCTTGATGTATGTTTTATTTCAATATGTTCATAGACAGACTACAGAAAGCTATACAACAACCAGGTTTTTTCTTGCTCTATAACTTGCTGAGATCTCTTATCCCACATGGGTAAAATGAAGTTTCTGCTCCTCACTGGCTTAGCCATGGGGAACTGCCAGGAAAAACCTGCTCCAGCAACACTTTCATGAGCACAGAACCAGGCAACAGTGCATGATTTCAGCATCCCATCAGTCCTCTAAGTCAGCATCAGCAATGCTGTGGTGGCAGAAACAACATGGGCCAAGCTTCCTACTTTTAAAAAGCATCCATGCAACTTTGGAAATACTTTTTCTAGAATTTGGGATATTGTTTTTAAGTACAAGTGCTTGTAAGGCAAAAACTTCTTGTGAGGCCAAGGGTGGGTGAACAAACATCACCTTTACCTTTTCCTTTATTGAAGTCTCAGTGAGCCCCTCACTGGACTGAAATAACAAGAGCACTGCCCCTCTCACAGCTCATGCATGATGGGAATTCCATGAGAAGAGCAGCTCTCTTATTATTCCAGCTCAGTAAATGGATCCCTAAGGGGAGAAGAACGGGTGGAACACAAAGAGAAGCGGTGGGATATCTGGAGCACAGGAATGCACAGCTCTGCTCTGTGCTGCCCCTGCTCTCCCTCTGCCTTGGGCAATGCCTCTCACTCTGTCCAGCTCAGCACAGCACCCATCAAGTGCTTTTGCAAACAAAAAAGGCTGCAGTGGCTCTTGGGAGTGTCCTACAGCAGCACTTCAGAGCTCCTCAGGAGGACACTTGTTCTGAAGATCCCAATGAAAAGATTTATGTTTTCCTTTCACATCAGCTCTGCTTTCTTGGGATGTGGCTCACTGCCAGGCAGGAGTTGCATTAATCTCAAGAAGAGAAATCCTGAGGTGTGTCACCTAATCAATAGCCCTGCTTTACTCCATTAGATGAGTTGTGCCTTGCTGTCACGCACATCACCCTGCCGACCCCGCTACGCTAAGATTTACTGCTTCAAAACAAGAGAAGCAAAATTAAACCTGGATTCCATCTCTTCCCCAACCTCTACAAGTGCAGAAGGAACAATACCAAAATCATGACTCCACACGACAGGAATGGAGAGCTACACTCAGCCCTGGTCTTTGGTTAAAAACAGCTCCATACTTGGGAGTGGACATCGGTATAAATCCCACTAACAACCCCACACCCTGCAGGAAATACTTATCATTGGTATCACTGGTATCTGCTGCTCTGGGTTAGCCTTTGGGTTCAAACATCACCCAGGGTATCCAGGATTGCTTGTCCACTAAGCCACAGTATGTTTACAGAGTTAGTTACACAGGGGTATTTAAGTTTTTATAACTATAATTTAATCAAAATGCTGGTTAAAAAGAAATGTTTGAAGACAGGTTTTAGAAATAAGTATCTGGGGACATAACAGGATAAATACTTTCAACAAGCTCACTCTCCTGAAAACACCAGTTTTAAGTAAAGTGCATAATTTAAGTGACTAATACACTCCACTTATTTTTTCCTCTTCTGCCCACTATTTTTGCCTTGGTGTTTTGGGTCTTCTCAACCCTGCCTGCTGTTATTCTGTAAGTCCTTTCATTTGTTTTACCTCACGATGTGAAAGGATTTGGCTGGTTTGACTGGAAACAGAAGGCCAACAGAGCCTGCTGCCTCATGGGTGGAGACGTGGGACTTGTGCAATCAAATCCTGTGTTTATGGATTCAAACTGCAGATACCTGCATGGTATTTACCTTAAACGATTCACTCCAGGCCTCACTTCAGCAATATAGCTAAACAAAGATGAAAAACCTTTAAGTGCATGGATTTTCCCACTGATCTGGAGAGGCATGGATTACATAACCTCCTGTTAGAGGCAGCTCCTTCTCCCACCAAATTCCTGAACGCAAACGAGACGAGGACAAAAATCAAGCTGAAAAAAAATCGCTGTACTTGCTGAGCTCCACCTACTTTTTGGGAAGCCAGGTACTCCATGCCTCGTGCCAGCTGGTAGGTGCAGGACACCAGGTCCTTGAATGTCATCTGCTCCTCGGGCACCCTGTTGATGTCGAAGGAGTACTCCATGCCGGGCGGGCGGCGCGCTCGCAGGTATTCCCGCAGGTTCCCCTTGGAAGCGTATTCCACTATCACATACAAAGGACCTTGGGGTGAAAAGAGCCATGGGAAAAGCAGGGTCAGGTACCAGGGTAAAATTATTTGGATTTTTGGTTTTTTTTTTAAATGTAAAAAAGCTTTTAGCGCGCTGTGATAAATAACTGAATCAGTAAAGCGGGAAAGCGGTAAGCACCGCTTTAAAAAAAAATAAAAAATAAGAGGTTTGGATATAAACAACTCTAATTTGTATAAATTTATACAAATTTATACCAATTTGGAAGTGACTGCCCAAAGCTCCACAGCAGGAGTGGCTGAGCCACAATTAGTGCCTTAAAGTACCTAAACGCTGCCCCAGTGCCTGTTCCTTTCAGACCATGTCACGCACTGAAAAACAAATATTTTCAATCAAAAAATACCCTGAGATCTCCAACAAAAGGAAAAGTGCTTCTTAAATTTTGTTTTTTTAATTTCCAGAGTGTCATGCCATTCTGCATCACTTTATGTGGCATAATTAGCTTTTCCAGGACTCATTTCAAATTTGTAGGGTGCAAGCTCTCCTAAAGCAGGGCTGACAATTCAGAACAGCAGACATGGGTAAAAAGGCCCTGCAAAAGAGCATTTGTTCCTTACAGCAAGGGATTAGAGCGTTTTCATATAATATAGGACCCTTTCTCATATTAAGGCTGCAACTATAATGAGAAACAGAAGTTCAAATATTGCTGTTAAGCTAAAGAAATACCTAAAAATCCTATCACGGCATGACTGCTTCCTTAAAACCTCTTGAAAAATTATGATTAATGAGACCTTCACAGACCTGTTGGAAAGTCCTGGTTTACTTCCTTTTCTCTACTCACCATCCTGGGTACAGGCTCCGAGAAGATTGATGATATTTTTATGCTTCCCAATCATCTTCATCATCTCCATCTCTGACACCAGGTCAGAGAGGTCTTTTTCTGTGGCATCATCTGTAGAAGACACAGGTTCAGTTCATATATTTTAGTGTGCCAACCTGAGCTTCAGTAAGGCTCACCAGTTGGTGTAAAATGTGTGGCTCAAAATGCAGAATATGGGATTTGTTTTCCAGTTTACACTGCATATCATGTATCACGTCTTACCAAAAAATAGCCTCTTTGGTGGACTGACCAACTCTTCAGTGTTATTATGTAAAGAGGCAGCAAAGCAAGATCAAACATAAAAAACTGTCCTTAGCTGTCAAATCTCCAGTAACACCGCCTTTCCTGCAATCTAACCTTACAATTAAATTCAAAATAAATAGGAACCAACCACCTGGACTGAATGGGCTCGGATCTACACAAGGATAGCCTCTGACATGAAATAAACTGAAAGCAGAGAGACCCACACGACGCTAATACATCTCCTGGCTCCCAAATACTCAAGATAAACAGGCTGTCAAGGCTGCAGATTTACACCCCAGACCGCTGAAGGCTGAGGTCAGCTATGCGCTCTTTGACCCACGCCACAACGATGACAGAGTTCAGGTGCCACAAAAGCAAATTCTGTGGCTGAGAGCTGCCATACTGCCCGTTCTGATCCCTAACAGCCGAATTTTCTTACCTTTCAACATCTTCACTGCCACGGTCACTGCTTCTTTCGGCCTGTCTTTGTCAATGCCCACCGCTTCGGCCATGACCACTTGCCCAAAGCAACCTTCTCCCAGGGGTTTGCCCAGCGTCAGCCTGGAGGTGCAAACAGCAGATTAAGACACAGCATCTGGTGGAGGGTGCAGCCAGTGAAATTCCAGGGCTAAATATAAAACCTTTCAACAACTTGAAAGCCACGCTGCAGCGTGAGGCGTTTATCATATGGAACCAATAAGGGCCTGGGTGCGTTTTCTTAGGGATGGTGGAGCGAGCGTCTCAGAAAGGCACATCAGTCACTAAACCCAGCTTTAAACTCTCCTCAAGGCTGTGCTTGATGTGGGGTGGAAACAGTTTGGAGGGGCAGAGCTTTCAAGGAGCATCAGAGCGTGGCTGGAAGCGGGGAGCAGCCGGCAACAGGCCAGCTTCTCCTGGCACGGTAACACTGCTGGTCATCTTTGTCTCCACACTGACCACAAGGACATGAGAGCCAAGTTTCGGCCACAGAGGGTCCAGCACAGTGGCTGTTTCTTGGTTGCAGGCTCTTTGCAGCCACAAGAGTCTTGGCTGAGGGGACCAGAAGGTGCCTCCTGCCCGCAGAGCCCAGGCTCTGCTCAGCAAGGGGAAGCAGAAACTGGGAAAAACAAACTCGGCTGCAATCATAGCACCAAGATCAAACCCTCCTAAAAGGAGCAGTCACTAAGTGGGCTCTGCAGAATGAGTGAGCATATTCCTGGTTGCAAAACCTGCTCAGATCTAACAGATAGAAACAGAGATGTCGACCTCAGCTTCATGAGGAGAAAGAGATGAAATAAAAAAGGAACTTGAAAGCTTCTGGGCAAAATCTTTTTGATTCCAGCCTAAGTGCTCAATGGGCAGACCCTTTACTTGCAGAGAATGCTGTGTGACATCCAGCAGCAGTGCTGTGGCAGGAGCCAGGGAGGATGCTCAGTGAGTGTGATGCTGATAACATTATCCAACGTAGGGGCCAGATTCAGACAAGCATTTTCATAAACAAATTCTTAAGGACCTGACATTCCATTGTCAACAGGAGGATTTCACAGACGGAGAGACTCATTTTTAAAAGAATGGAGACCTGTCTTCCACCATGAAGTACAGGGAGAGGCTGTCATACCATCAGCAGAGATGTTAGATGAGGGGTAAGTGGTTTGAAACCCTGCTTATCTCCTGAGGGCAGCCAGCTCACACTGTCACATGTGGGCTCCTGCTTGGTGAGAATCCCTTGAGCTGTTCTGGATTGGTTTCTAAAGCAAATGCAAGTTTTAAAAAGGTGCAAAGACTGAAGGACAGCATATGCTATGCTGAGGTCACCCTGCGTTTTCTCCAGAACTAAAACTGAATTTAAGGTCTTGGCAGAGAACAAACATTTGCATTGGAAACTGGTTAATTTATGTGCTATTGCCCTGCTAGGACCAAAGTAACAAACCCCTCATTGTGTGCCTGCTGCCCCCCAGCCTAATAAACTGCCTCTAAATAGCCTCCTTTCATTGCAAATCTGCTCCACCTACATTTGTGTTGAGCACTGGGTTTAAATGTTTAGCAACCCTAAAATTTTCTGCATTTAGTGTATCCCCCCAGGGCATGGGCTGACAGGAGCACATATACAGACCCCCACTGTTGACCAGAATGCTGCAGGTGGCAATTACAGCCTTTTACTCCAGTTTTCAGCTAAACCAATAGAATAATTTCCAGAACAGTTATCAGAAGGCTCAAAATTACAGTTCATCTATTCAAAAGTTACAACCCTGAACTTCCAAAGAGAACTGGCCATGATAAAAGGTTTTATTTTCTCAAAGCCATCTAAAGACTTCTTAAAGCTGGCACTAATTCTGATAAATAAACATGGTTCTACCTGTGTTAACATTATCTCTCTTTTGCATCTTTTTTTATATTTAACAATATGGTTACAGTTTTAATTAGACTATCCAAAAGCTCGTTTTGCATGTTAGTCAACAGACTTTGAAGAAAATATTATGTAGCTACATGAATTTGAATATATCAAAATTCAGTATGCTCTGCTTGAAACCCAACACTTTTAAGGCGTAGAAATTGCACATACATGCACTCAACATGCAAAATGTCCTCCTAAATTAAAAATAATCATCTCCATCAATACTTGTCAATACAAACTCAACACCAAATCATACCCAGAGACATGACAGAAAGAAAAGATTGTCCAATAGCATAATTTAGACTTTCTCCATCTCCTACATATTGTATTACCTGTTTTTTTTAAATATTAGCCAATTAGTCAACTAAGAAACATGTTTTAATTTTCAGAGGTTTTGCTTGGGGAAACCACCCTTTCCCTTCAACAATGCTTGCATGTGGATATTTTTCCCAGTCTAGATCACACCAAATTTTCCTAAATCATTTCCTAACAGAGCTACATTTCAGCAGAGCATCTGAAAACGTGCGAGAAATCTGAAAATATAACCGGGACTGCAGGCAGAAGAAATTTAGTTCCTATTTAACCAAACTGATTTCAAGGCACTTGAACTGAATCTTGATCTTCAGAGCAGCTTCAGGTAACTGAGAATTTTCTTTAAGCTAGAGAAACCCTGGGAGACATGAGGAGAGATGCTTCCTCCTCCCTTGCTGTTCAAGGTTATTCAGACAGGCAGAAGTGGTGTCAGAGGAAGCGAGCTACATACTTATCTCTTGGGAACTCCCACTTTGGGTCTTCTGGCAGTTCATACTCCGAGACTCCTGCCAGCATGGGGGCATCAGCAGTGGAGGAGAGGCGGGTGGTGATCCTCACCAGGGGCGTGTTGGAATTCATGGAGGAGCTCGAGTCGGCCGACACCTGTGGTTGCGATGCAAGATGCAACAAGGGGGAAAAAAAAAGATGGAGATGTAATCTTGGCCCAAAATCTGAAAACCACCAGCACCTGATACCAAGCCAGCTCAGAATCATGGTGTTAGGAAGTGGCTGAATCTACAGTCCTGATTCTAGTGCTCTGTTCTCACATTTAGCCTCCCCCTTAAGCACAATGCTGACTCTAATGGCTGCCAAGGCTGTCAGTCTGTCCCATAAATCAAAAAACTCCTAACTTTTTAATTTATTCCCTCAGAAGGTGTTTTTTTTATCATATTAGGATTTTTTTTTGTAATAAACAGGCAGTATTTACATCACTACCCTCAGATATCCGAGTGGGCACCTTATACCATGAACAGAGGTGATCAATAAGTTCTCTTCTTCCACTCCTAGTTGTCCATGTCACTACATCTTTTCCCAAATCAGCACACCCAAGTGGGACTCCATCCCTTCAACCAAGGAAAAGCAAAGCACAAGAGTAAATGGCCTCCAGGGGACGTTTAGACTGGATATCAAGAACAGCTCTTTCAATGGATGGACTGCCCAGGGCAGTGGAGGAGTCACCAGCCTCGGAGGGATTTAAAATATGTGATGTCTGAGGTGGGACATGGTTTAGTGGTGGTCTTGGCAGGGCTTACATTTGGACTCAATGAGCTTAAAGGTCTTTTTCAACCTATATAATTCCATTACTTTATATTTTCCAAGTACTCAATACTGAAAGCATCAAAAAGCTATCACAACACTTCAGTTTTCAATTAACTACATTCTTAGCTAAAGACTCCACAGGAAATGTGGGGAAGAGGGCCTAAATATAACTCAGTTTTGAAACTTTGGAGTGTGATTTCTCATCAGCCCCGATATCTTCCTTAGAGTACCAAAGGTATTTATTGATAAATGCTTCGAAAAAGGAGGCAGCTGCTCCATCCATGTAACAAAATTTGGTGTGAATCTTCTGTAAGGCTCTTTCCTCAAGCCTGCAAGCAGCAGCCTGACATCTGCTGACCTCAGAGTTTCAAGTGAATACTAACACAAAACAGAAATGCTTGTATTGCCAGCCATCCCCTCCTGAATGAGAATCCTCCTTCTCTCCTCATGCCACCATCACGTCTTGGCCAAGCCCAGATCCAGCAGCCAGGCTGGGCTCCAGCTTGCCACAAATCCATCACTGGCACCCATCCACACACCAGGCAGCAGGAGATGCTTCTCTTGGACCCAGCTGGAAGCCTGGAGCACCAGAGCACCCACACCCTCATCACCTGGATGAGGATCAACTTTGCCACCTGGTTTGCTTATGTAAAATGTCACCAGGCTACAATTTTGTTCCATGGGTCTCAGATTTAATAAGGCATCTTTCTAAAACCAGAGGTGGTTAAGGGTGAAAAGAGGTTTTGTAAGGAAGAAAATGTTAAGGAATCTATCAAAAAATTAATCTTGGTGACCAGATTTGCAGCTGACAGACCTTTCCTGATATCAGGAACAGCTCCTGCACGCAAATTGTGGTGTCTGTGGAAAGGGAGAGTGAAACTGCACAAACACAAGGTGGACTGCTTCCACCATTCATCCCACCATCATGAATGTTAATATTTACTTTCAGCAAATATAAGTACCTGGCACATTCCTCTAGGAAAATTAATCCAGTGACCACTCGGGATACAAACAGAAAGGTTCTATTAAGGCAGACTATGGAGCTGTAAATAAATCAGTGAGTGAATACTGAATGGAGTCCTGAGAGAGAGATGCTGCCATGCCCAGCCTGCAGAGGGGAGCTCACCTGCTGGACCAGACAGCAGGAGAACCAGGGCTGGAATCTGATCTGCTTTTTGCCTATTTTTATTTTTTTTTCCCTTCTCATTTTCATTATTTTACTACAGTTTGAAAATGATGTTTCATGAAATGGACCAGCTCAGCACCAAGGAATGTGCAGATCTCCAGTGTGGCAGCTCCTCTGCCCCCAGCCCTACTTTTCTGAATTCCACTTTTCTGTTATTTCTGGCTTCAATTTTTTCATCTCTCACCACAAATTTATCAATACTCTATGATCACTTCCTCCACATTTCCAAAATCTACTTACTATTCTCCAGCCATTCTACCAAGGTCTTTATTCAAGTCTTGATTCTTATATTCTTTATTAATTAACATTCCCTTTACTTCTGTGATGGCCTTTGCCATTACAGCCATTGTTTTCAAGGAACAGAAAGGCAGAGAAGTGAAGTTACAAAATTTAGATATCTTAGGTATCAGAAATGGTCCAGAATTCTAGGTTCTGGGATCTTGTTTTTTGTTTTTGTTTTATTTTTTCATGCACACAATAATTGTACTGGACACTGTCTGGATCTTTTCCAGAGTTTCATTTTTTCACTAGTTTTTACACTCACCATTCAGCAGCCCCAGCCTGGTTAAAGCCTATAAATATAAACTCAGAATAAACTGAAATACTCTGGTGATGCATTTTAAACACAGAGCTTAAACAGCAATAATGGATAGAAAAAAGCAGATTAAAGGCTCTGCCAGCTTTCCTTTTAACACAGCTCCACGTGTTTACTTCGCAGCAGACCTGTGTGATGGGCCAGAGATACTGGAGGTAACCAAAGTGCATTAACATGGATAGGAATGATGAGAAATCCAGAGGAACTACTCCGTGTCTGGGAGAAGACAAATGGACTGTACTCCCAGGGAATATTCTCCTGATTGATTAACTGGAGCAGTACAAGGAATTACAGGAGCTCAAGGGCCATAAAAATCTGCTCCAGAAAAGATGAAGCCAACCCAGCCTGGTCTGTGGCTGGGGGAGATTTTCTGTTTCAAAATGGCCTCTCACCTTTCCTGCAATAAGAAAGAATTAACCTTTGATCTCTCCTCCCTCAAGCATCTTTTTTTCCCTGCCTTAGAGCACACTATAAAAGACTGAGGAAAATCCTACCTATTCTAAGGTCAGTAGACATGGTCAGCTTTAATCTACATTTAAGTGGCAGCTTTCTATATGCTTTTTTTTTTATTTTTTCCAGTTTGCCACGTGCAGCTCTGCTCTCCAACCCCTCACCGTGCAGGTTCACCTGATACAGGTGAATTAAACATGGTGGGGGCACACTCAGTGTGCTGACACCCTGTTTATGTGACACAGCACTAGGGAGGTATTTTGAGTGCTTAATTAAAGAAAGAAAGTTGAAAGTCAGCTTGAGTTGAGCAGAGCACTGAAAGAACCATTATGGCACGTGCTGACCTCAACAGGAAGGCAGAGCTCCACCAGAAAATATTCCTTGTGTGCTTCCTTTTGTGCTTTTAGCTTCCCAGAAGTGAGAGCAGCACCAGGCTCAGCCAGACCTTTAGCTCCTTATCTGCACTCGAGAAGGAGAAAAGCCCACTGCACCCAAACCTCACACATCAATCCATGATTATATCCTCATTTTAACTACATCTTCTTCCTCTGGCCAACACACTGGGTTTAATCAGCTCTCAGTTAATGCCTTACAAGCATTTCTAAGCAGCGGAGCATTTAAAACAAACAAATCTTTGCTGGAATCTTTAAATGCCATGTGGCAAAATCAGCTGCAGAGCAGTGTGTAATTGTCTGTAATTGATTATGAAGGGTGTTTTCCTCCACTGATAATTCATACCATGTCCTGGAGCCTAGATCTGTCAGTTCTGGCACTCATGCTGGGACGTTTTAGCAGGCATGCAGTGATTTCCTATAACTGTCAGCCTTTTTGAAGGCTCTGCTGTAAAAGTTAATTTGAAATCATATGCATATTTGTATATTATAATTAGTAAATAAGGCTGTTAGCTGCTGGTGGAAACAGCTCATCTGAGTGACCTGATGCAGGAAAACACAAGGTTAAATGCACTGCACAAAACTGAGTAATCCCAATGTTAAGTACTGACATTTAAAACACATACACCACCCCTCATTTGGAAACACTTACACACAAAATAATATCCAATAAGTACCACGAGACAAGACAGTGGTTTCCATATAGAAAAATCCAAGCAGAAAGAAAAAAAAATAAAATAAATACTTAAGGTAAATTCCACTCAACAGTATCTTACTGAGAGTTGTATATTAATCTTTGTACCTCATAGTCTATTACTCTAAAAAAATGATCATTTTACTGCTCAATATTACATGAAATACTCCATTACTTTCCTTTTTCCTGATCACTTTTTTTTTCCACATTGCAGCTGCCATCATCATTTTGAATTATTGAGCTGCCATTTTGAACTACTCTGCTTTAACCCAATCAGTTTTTGTTCATCACAAATACACCCATTATATCTTCATGACTCCACAACAACAATAGACATAAATTAATGGGAGTGTACTTTAAATACTAAGCATAAAAAAATAATTGCTTCCTATTTAAGACACGTGCATGTTGAGGGGGTCCAAATTTGACAGATTGGCTGTGACAGAACTAACAAAAACCTTCAGTGATGACAAACATTTGTACTTGACTTTGAGCAAGTCACAAGAGATGGAACTGTCTTTTTGTCTGCTTCAATTATAATTTATCTGTTAAAATAAAGGTTCTACAAAACAGAAGTACATCCTCCTGAAGGCTCCTCTTTATTCTTTTGGTCCTGTCACTTAAAGACTGTCCTGCAAATCAGCTTGTGAGGCTCAACCCCACAAATTCCTCATCCCCTCCCTCCCAGGCTGGCAGCTCCACGCAGACCACGAGTAACACTTGTGCTACTTTGATGAAAAGAGGAGCTGCCTGCTGGATTTCCCTGGAAAAACCTTAAAAACTGAGTACCAGACCCTGGTGAGGATGAGGATTGTAGGGGATGGAAACCAGTAATTCCTGACTTCATCCTGACCCTTCCTACAAGTGTGGAAAGAGCTGCATTTTGGCAGGAGAAAAATGCCTGCATGGGGGGAATGATAAAATCCCGTGGTAGCTCAGGCTAAACAGTGCAGGAGGATCCAAACCAAACCATATGTTACTCAGCAAGACTCTTCTCCTGCTTAGACAAGATGGCATCAGAGCTGTGCAAATGTCTCAGGATTATTTTCCAGCCCAGATCCTCGGGGACCCTGACCCAGCAGCAGAGGAGCTTTGAAAACAATATCAAGAATTTCCCAATCTGTGGCCTCATTTCTCTGGAATTCCAGCAAATCCCATCACCCAGCCCTGGATCTCTGCCCCATTCTCACAGCCCACCTGCCATGAGCATCTCCCTCCCATCCTCCCACCTCGTCCCTCCCACACACAGCACGAAGGGAGAACCTTCTGTGGCCCACAGAAAATAAAGGTTTAGTGACAAAACCCCACCAAGTTTAAATACAACCCTCTGAAACACAAATAAACTGAAACAAAGCGAGCTTGGTGGCACAATTGGTTGGGTTGAATGATCCAGAAACACACACCCTTTTAAAAAAACATCTGGCTTATTTTTCAATTCTTCACTTCTGACAACAGCACTGAAATCCAAAACCAGCTTTAAAAGATGCAGAAACTAAAGAGCTGCTGCAGCATCAGCACCAAGGAGATGATCACTGGAAAATTAAGGAATATTCACAAGGAAATCTTCAGGGATTGTTTGTCTCATCCTGCCTTTGCAAGCTGACCACTAAAATCATCAAACCAGAAATACAGATTTCAGGCAATGCTTACAGTAGTTATATTTTCTTCCATGCAGATACAAAAGCAGAGAGACCATCCATGAGCAACTGCTGCTAACAAAACAGTACCAGGAACAATTGGGAGGAGTGGGATTTCTGCATAGGGGTTGAAATAGCATTTGCACTTTCAAATATAAATATTTTTCAAAAATAAGTATTCCCAGTTTTAAAAGCAAAATGCCATTTTGGCTAAAAAAATGTAAAAATACTGAAATAAATTGATAAAACCCAACGTGACAAACATGTTGTAAGACAGTTTCTTCCCTCTGTGAAAACAATAGCTTTGGAGAAGGTCCATATTGCATCATTTAAGGATAAATAGCTAAACTGAGGGCAGTGGTTGGCACTGCTGTCACACACAATGAAATAACACTTCTCCCCAAGGAACCATTTCCAGCTGACACAACTGAGCTCACACCAAACCTTAGGTATTTTTTATATCATCAATTTATCTCTGAGTCATTAGGCATTTATATTCAGGCAGAAATCTAATAAGTGTCTCCTATCTAAGCAGTTGATATGTATCTCTCTCTCTCTCTGGCTAAGAATACAACATCTGAAAGGCTTTGTTTGTCCAGAAAGCTACACAGATTTCTAGCCAAAGAGATGTGTGAATTGAGCCCAGGGCTTCTCCTCCCTCTTTCTGACACCCTCAAAGTGAAAAGTCCCTCTTTGTCCCAGTGATACTTGAGCAAATGAGTAAAATCATAAATAAAAATTAAAAATAAACCAAAACAAAAAACCCAACAAAAACCAAGACCACACCTTAAGTTACAAAGAAAGTTAGAAAGTCAGAAAAAATGAGAATTAACATTTTTTGTTCTTAAGAGAAACCAAATGTTTTTTATATTGAAAAAAGTTCAGGTGCCCCACCTCAAGATTCTGTAAAATACTGAACTCAAGAGGAAGGTAGCTACAGCATTCCACTCCCTGGTAATTTTAACCAAGGAAACTCAGAAACCATGAAGCAAGGGTGCAGAAAAACGTAAAGCTGCTCAGAATCTCCCAGTCTGTGTGCCCGTGCATCTAATTTCAAACACTTACCCAGGCTGAAGAACCCTTTTTAAGGTACATTCATTACTCTGACAGTGACAATATTCTGGACAGGCTGTAAAAACAAATCTGCAGAAATCCTGCACCACTTACTCATGGTGTGGATGGACACAAAGTGAACCCTCACATCCCAATTCCCTGGCCAGAGCCTGGATCCAACCCTCCATGACTGTTTTTTTGGCTGCTGAGGTGAGCCAAAGCCTCAGATTCCAACATCCCCCCATCCTGCAGGGCTGAAACCTGGGGGTGACAGAGGTCTGCCCTCAAGACCTATTGCAAGAAAATCAAAACCTATTAAACTCCAGCTTCTAAAAACACCACAAATCCTTCAGGAGAGGACAGCATGTGGGAATGGAGGCTGTTTTGGCAAGTGGTGGTCTGTGATAAAGCCACTTGTTCAACTGGTTTGCTGCTTGTGGCATTGCTTTCTCCAGAAATGCTCATTGCCAGCCACAAACAACTGTAAAATATATTTCATGTGATGCTGTTGTCTGCATTTTAAATCTGGCACTTGCTTTCATTTCTTGCTCAAAAGCATCATTATCTTAATTAAACTGTCCAAGATCTGATATAGTATCTCCCCTACTTTTACTTTATTACAGTCTTTTTTCTATTTTGGGGTGTTTTCTGGATGCCTGGCTATGAAATTCCCTCCTCTCAGTCTTCAAAAGTCTTCCTGAAAAATCCCTCTCTGTATCTGGTACCTAGTTACCACAATAATAATCACCTTAGAAACATCATAAATATACAATTAAATAGGATTCTGTTCCAAAGCCCATTAAGGCAGTAACATTTTTTCCATTGACTCCATGGGATCAGGCCCCAAAATACTTGAAAGATTTTTTCCCCCCCCCATCCACAGACTGCTAATACAGAACATATTTCAGGTTTTATATTTTATATTCGTCCCCCCCCTAACATCCCTGCCCTGAGATGCTGCGCTAAGATGTTCTGTCCACCCCACCCCTACCTGACATAATTCATTAATTCCCTTATTCATTCCCCTTTCCAGAGCTCTCAGCAGAAGGATGTGCTGGCTTAGTCATTGAGGTGAAAAAAAGGTTTTTTGAAACTCTTTATCTACTTTCTGTTACCTGTCTGCGCAGGGGGATGCGCTTGGTCAGCTTGTGGACAGCGGGCTGGCTGCTGAAATCCGGCTTCTTGGTGGTGTTCTTCATGCGGCACAGGATCACTATCAGCACCATGCAGGCTATCAGGAACACCCCTATGCAGTAAATTGCTATTTCCACGTAGTCTGGAGAGGTTGGGTATTCCTTTTCTTTCTCAGGAGCTGGGTGGGAAGGTTGGAGGAGGGAACAATCATGCCATAGGGTTAGCAGACGGAACGGGCAGCGGTTCACAGCACTTGGAGCAAGTAATGGTAAAATAGGACCAATTTTTGGGTGGTTTTCAGAATGCTGAATGTTTAGGCCATCTTGCAATCTGAGAGTAATTCTTTTCTCCACATTACTCTGCTTTGATTTCTCAGTTTGCACTGAGTGTCAGCTTGTGCACCTATGTATACATAAACAAGCATATACACGTGTCTGCCTAGGTAGGTACATACATATACATTGAAATATTGCATGATCCTTTTAGAGGGAAGACAAAACTGCTCAAACTAGGCTCAGGTTCATTTTGTTACTTGAGTCAAAGTTTAAAAGCGCTGCAATTCTTATGAATTCAAGCTCACATCTAGAGATAAAACTGTGAATTCGCTAGCCTGATGAAAAGTGTCTAAACCTGCAAATAAATGTTTGGGCTTGAGTCTACCTGTTTATTAAAAATTTTCAGTAGGATCTCAAAATATAGAGGGAAGGGAGGATGAACCAGTTCCCCAATCATGTCTATAAACTCAGATTAGGGGTTTCAAAAGGGTTTCACAGACCTGGCTGTCCAGCTGCTTTAACCAGCTATGCCTCGTGCTGGGTGCCCAGCGCCCCTGAGGTCCTTTGAGGAGCCCAGAGCTGGATTAAAAAGCATAATTGAAGTGAAAAACTAATTGCTAGCAGCACGTTAATTAACAAGGCCTCTTCTGTGAGGACTGCAGTCTTTCAAGTAACCTCATCAGTGGTTACTGGCCTATGAGATTAGATTTTGGAGGGAGTGGTTCTACAGAGCTGTTACTGTGATTGAAACCATTTTGAAGCTATCTCCAAGACAGTTATACGTGCAAACAGTGTCCCTAATTCCTTATCTGGGATTCAACCCCCGGATAAACAGCATTCCACAGCCATCAGCGGTCACTCCGCAAGCAATGCACGTTTCAAGCTGAAATTTTCTTGTGCCTTTCCAGGCTTATAAAACTACATTGTTCAAAAAAAAAAATTGGTTAAAAAAAATAAATAAATAAAAAATGCTGTTCAAGCACTTGCAAAATGCAAACACTGCCAGCAGAAGCAAGCTCTACACAAGCACTGCTCTGCCTGCTTGGTGACACCTCACAGGCTCGGGGCTCAGTTCCCAGTGAAATGGAATAAAGCTGCCTCGTTCAATAAAATTCAATAAAAGGTAAGAAATTATCTGCAGACAGTGGGAACGTTTAACTCCCACACTGTGAACCTCAGCAATATGCACATGCAGGTTTTGTACCTCTTACTTAGGATTAACAATTAATAAATGTTAAGCACAAGATGACCCAGCAAACCTCAGGTGGTTCATGTTTTTTTTTCCAAAGGAACTCCTGAGGCAGCTGCCAACAGTTATAAATGAGACAATTTGAATAATGTCAAAACCAGCTACGGTTACATCTTCTCACAGCTGATAACAATTTTCAGGCAATAAAGCACATTGATGTTTGTTTCTTTTAAGGACAGAAACATCATCAACCCCAGAACAGCAAGACATGCTTTGCAGTAAAAGCAAATGACTACTTGTTTCCTTAGAGCATGCAATGTTTAAAGATGCACGGAGCCGATTCCCAAGATATGGAAGGCACTGCTTCTGTACATGATCCTCTGGCACTGAAATTGGAATTTCCATCAGAAATTTGCATGATAGGTAGAAGTGAATTGAAGTACACTGAATAGCTCAGGTATTTCAATGAGCCATTACATAACTACAGCCAAATTAGTTCCAAACTTCGTAACAAACTGAATTTCATCCTCTCTTTTACAATGATTTACAGGCTGATTTTCAGTTGTCCCATTGAAGTGCTAAGGAAATGCAGATACTCAGCATTTCTGATGATGCAAAAACATTTCAATTAAGTGCAATAGCCACACACTCCACTCCCTTTTTTTGCTGTTGTTGCTATTTGGTTTTTGGCAAATATGTGTCAGAACAAGTCACTGGCTTGAGACAACTGCACTTGAAAAACCAAAATCATTGTAAAAGTCCTTTTTTTTTTTTTTTTTTTTTTTTTTTTTTTTTTTTTTTTTTGAGACAGAAGCTGTGCTAATTCTGCAGCAATCAACAAGGGGATGGGGGGGAAAAAAAAGAGGAAAAACCACGGAAAGAGAGCAGTGTATACCTGGCAGAACTGTCAACCATGCAGTGTGAAAGGATATCCCAATAGAATTACCCGCCAAGCATGTATACTCCCCAGCATCCTCAAAAGTTACATTCCGTATATAGAGAACCTCAATTTCTTTGTCCGTGGTGTTAACACCGGCAGCCTAAAAAAAAACAAGAGGGAAGCAAGAGAAAAAGCTAGACACTGAGAGAATTTTTGTGGATAGGGAGATGGAGCCACAGGGCTTTGCACTTTGGTAAAGGCAGAGGTGGAGAGATGCAAAGCTCCTTCCCCATCCACAATCCCTCATCCAAAAGGCGTTTACCAACAGGTCCCAGCTCACCTCAGAAAGTAAACACCCTTCACCAGACCTAAACTCACCACCTAAACATGCATGCAATCAAAAGACATGGAAAAATTCACCCACAAAGATTTTATTTTTTTTCTTCTTCTTCTTTTATAACAAGAGAAAGTTGAAAGAAAAACAAAGAGAAAATGAAGTAGGACAGAATGTGGGATCCTTCACGTGTAGATACCTGTTCCAGAGGAAAAAATTTACCATAAAAGCATACTCTAAAATGATAAAGAAAAGGGGTGAATTCTGCTCCAAAAGACAACTTAGTAGCTGTCATATACTGTGTATGATCCTTGCATCACCCACTGCACTCCACTTTTGAGTAGTAACTACTACTGTACATTGTGAAGAGTTGCCAAACCTCATTTAAATCTCAAATCTGGAAATATTTGGTGGTTTGCTTAGAAGCACGGTGGAAAGTATCTCAATTCTTGCTGAAAAATCAGAGATCTTGTTCAGTTGTGGCTCTCACAGGTGTGAGAGAAAAGACTTCAAAGGCTTGAAAACCAGGAGATGGAAATAAAATATATCTTTCTACATCTTAAAGATTGAGGGGAAAAAATACTCTGTAAGTTTTGTGGTTTTTACTGGTCATCTTCCAGACTTGTTGTCTTGACATTGTGCACCAATCCAAGTATCAGTGATTATCCAAATTTATACAAATGTAGTAAATCTTAGGCCTGGAACTTCCCAGCTGCCCCAAGATGGGCACATCAGGGCATCAGCATCAAGGTCTCAGTGATGGAGGTTTAGAGAAATTAATGTTTGCTACTTTTGATCTCTGCTCCATTCAAAAATGTTAATTTGAAGTACACAATCAGGGAATAAATACCTTTATATTGGACCATTTTGAGGTAAATTTAGTTGTGGGTTGTAGTTACACAGTTGCCTTTACTGTTACTGCTGAATAAAACCCAGTTAGTAATGGGTAAGACCTGGGAAAAGCCTCCCACCTGCACAGTCACAGGCGAGGTGGGAAGTTGTAAGTGACTAAACTGACCTGACTTATGCTCCAGTGGGTATTTATGTGAGCAGGTCATGTATATACATACCTATGTATATACATAAATACACACTATGAGGTTGTAATTACATTATTCAGTGGGTACCCTCTGTGTCAACTGCAGAGGACGCAGAATCAACAGCAAAACTGGACACACACACACAAAAAGACACCAGAGAGAGAACAGAGATCAGCATCAGAAACCAAAGCAGTGCTTCTGGTACACAGAGAACATTGTGGGAATTTTTCCATGGCTGCTGGTGTAACACCAGCTGCATCACCAAAGGAGGATTACACAAATACCACCAAGGCCAGAGAGTATCCTACAAGCTGCCTGCAGTCTCCCAAAGCACCATTTTTTTCCAGCTTGCTTTAAAAAACATTGTTACCTTGTACACTTGGCAGAACAGAGAGCCAGGCAGACTGGTTGGCCTCCCCTATATAATTGGAGACCTTACAAATATATTCTCCAGCGTCCGCCTCTGTCACATTGTACAGTGTCAGCACTTCAGCATTGGAACTATTTATCCCCGAGTGCTAGAACAGACCAATAACACAGGAGAACAACGTCACTGCTGCCCAGAATGGACACCAATCTGTCTATGGTCCCACCACCAACACGTCACCAGAACATTCCACATCAGCCTCTGAACATTGAAGGGTTTGGGGTTGGAATTTGTTGGGGTTTTTTGTTTGTTTTTGTTTTCCTTTAGGTTGTTGTTGTTGCTTGGTTTTCTTACATCTGAAGCGTCACAAGAGGAGTTAGGAAACAGCAGCGTGGGGGGAAAATGAATCTGCCTAGGCAGGTACTGCATGGGGCAAGCAGGTACAGAGCTGGCTGTCCTGCCTCTCAGAGTTTTGGCAATGCCATCCAGCTCGGAAAACTTCTGTTTCCCTGGTCAGGCTTGCTCCAGACTGGCAGGAATGACAGTACCAATACACTGCTCCAAATCAGACATCTCTGCAGGCTCAGCGTCCAGACAGCCCAGTCCTCCAGCAAGATTTTGGCAGCAGCTGCCATGTTACTTTGAAATCAAGAGGCTGAAGAAACATGAAAGAAATGGAGTAGATTGTCCCAGGTATGTTTTGAATGCTTTCTACCCATGCAAAAATGTCAATGATGTTCTTTAGAAGGATTTTCAATTTTTTCTGAACAAGTCATGCCTGAAACATTCAGATACAAAGGACTTTTTATGGAAGTAAAAAGGAGCAAAACAGTGTCTACAAGCTGCACATTTAGCATTCAGACAATCAAATGTTTATCTAACTCATCATTTCATTTGTAACATAAATATCTCCACTTTCAAAAGAGGTTCCAAACTCGAAATCCTTGGATTTACACCAAATAAACGCCGCGCTCTAAAGAAGGCGTCACCACTGCCGGCACCTGCGAAGTCTCACCTTTAAAACCTGGAGATAGGGCAGCCCATCTGGCCCGTATTTACTGCCGTTCTTCTCCACGTGCTTTATCCACTGGATGTGGGGCTGGGCATCGCTGTACACCTTGCAGACAAACTCGACGTCGCCGCCGACCACGGCGGAGGCGTTGGCGGGGAGCCCCGCCTGCAGGATGGGCCGGTGCGGGGAGCGCTCTGCTCCAGCGGGCAGCGGCACAGAAGGAGCGAGAGAGAGAGAGAGAGAGAGAGAGAGAGAGAGAGAGAAATAAAGATGCATAAATAAGCAGGGCTGCCAAGAAAACTGTAAGTGAACCCCAGCCAAAAAGCCCTGTAAGCCTGTTGGCTGACTCCTCCGAAATAACACCGCAGCCAAAGCATGTTACAAAACCTGCGGTTCAAAGGAGATGGCTTGGGTGCTACACTTGTAATTTAAAGAATAGCCATCTGGGGGGAGAGGGGGAACCCTGCTTAAACACTTTACTCGTTTTCCATGGTTTAACTCAGCCCTAATTAGGTAAAATATCTCCTTTTGGGGTTTTTTTTTAAGCTACCGTAATACAGTTACCTCTGAGTTCGGAAACATCTTGATTTGACTAGATCTCCTCACATTAAGAAGAAATATTATTGATTAATTTTAAAAACATGTTAAAATACACCAAAGGGAATTTCTCAAAAGTAGCAGCTGAAGCCTCAGCGTGCAGGATGCACAAACCAGGGAGCTCAACTTCCTAAAATACTCTAATCACTGCCAACCCTGCTCTCTACTTCACCCAGACACAGCAGCAGAAACACTGCTTCATTCTTATTCTCACCAAGACACAGGGAAATACAGAGTTCTCTGGAAAACTGGACTGTATTTAATGTGAGCCAATTCAGCTTCTAATCTATGCCCGTGCATAAGCACTTCTCACACATTTTCAGTCAGCCTCTCATGGGGAGCAGCTGAGGGAATTGGGGTTGTTGTGCCTGGAGGAAAGGAGGTTCAGGAGGGACCTTCTTGTTCTCTACAACTCCCTGACAGGAGGCTTTAGCCAGGTGGGAGTCAGGTTCCTCTCACTGGTGCCAAGGATGAGAGGAAACGGCCTCAGGTTGTGCCAGGGGAGGTTTAGATTGGATATCAGGGAAAATTCCCTCGCCAAAAGGGTTGGCCAGCTTTGGAACAGGCTGCCCAGGGAGGGCATCTAAAAGTCATGTGTGTGGATGTGACACCTGGGGACGTGGTTGAGTGGTGGCCTTGGCTGTGCTGGGTCAATGGCTGGACTCAATGATTTTAGAGGGCTTTTCCAACCTAAACAATTCTATAAATGAGAAGTGAAATGCTCACTGGCCATCCCCACCCTCAGCTCCCTGTTCTCCCCTGCTCCAGGAATTCTTTCAAAGATAAGTAAAAAATAGCAGACCTAAACATTTATTTTTAGAGGCTATATACTGTAAAAGCTCTGACATTATGAGCCAAATCAGCTGAATTTCAAACCAAGCGTTCCTTCTTAAAACATACTTGTCTCCAATAAATTGTTTCACAAGCAAACATTGTGAGTATAATAGCAAATAATGATGCCATTGAACAATGGGATCTTTTATACAGTCCAATATATTTGGCATGCAGCAAACATCTACTGGGAATTTATTCACTGAGCCTATGCTGGCAGCACACTACAAAGCAGCAGTCTTATTTTACTTGTGGCAAAAGTGCATTTGCATTGCAGTTACTAAATTATTCCATGGCTATGTGTGTCATTTTCGAAGATCTAGGAACAGTTTCATATTTTTTAATTTGTAAATTGCAGTAGAACACATAAATTATGATTTTACAGTTCTGGAGAGAACTTTTAGTGTCTCACCTTATACTAAATAAGCTCTAATTCCATCTCCCTCATTCCTTCATTTGGGTACAAAAACAGCAAGCAAAAAAATCTCTCTTTAATAGAAACCTTACACCATCTTCCAAAACTTATTACAGCTGCCTTCAGTATAAAATGAAACCTTAGAGAATGTTATTTAAAATGTTTTTTAGAAGTCAGTAGGCCTCATGTTTCATTTCTCCACATCAGGGTTTGATTTCCTTTGTGACCTTATTCTCTGCCCTTTAACAAACCAGAGAATGAGGCCTGAAACATCTTGGAAAAGTTCCTACTATGCCAGCATCCACACACGAGATGTGTTTAGCTTATCCCGACAGCCATCAATGATTTAATCTTTTATTGATGACTGTCAAGCATTTCCTCTACCAAAAAAGAAGAGGCAAAGCAAAGGAGTAAAAGCAGAGTTCTCACACTCTTGGTCCCCAATTTAATTTCAAAAAATTGAAGTGCGTGCATAGGGATGGGTATATGTGCATGGCCCTTTGTTAAATTTCTTCTCTAAAGGTAAATGTGTTAGAAACGAACTTTGGTTGCCCTCCCACACATGGATCAGTGTTCATCACCAACTCCTCCACTTCAGCAGAGGGGAGTAAGTCCTGTGCCCACACAGGCACACAGCACAGGAGAACAAAGCCATGCAAATCCAGCAGGGCTTCCTGGCAAACCTGGGGTCCAAAGAGCACCCAAAATACACTCAAGACTGGGAAAAATAACTATGAAGAAACTTCCACTAATTACCAATGGCCAAGCTTAATTTTGTACAGCACCTTTTCTTGGAAATACTCATTTCAGGACGTTATCCAAAAACATCCTGAAGTTATCCTACTTCTCTGAAAAACCACACACATCTAGGGACTCTGTTAAGCACAGGTACTGTCAAAGCCATATTCATAAATCTCACATCACTATTCAGCATTTAAAATACAAGCTGTACATTTGTAAGCAGATATCATCACTCAAACAACTAGCTGCACTAGTACTAGATGGAAACAATGTGTTCCTTTTTACTGAACACCAGCAAAAGAGTCAAAGTTGCCTTTAAAAACACCTTAAAAGGCTGGTGAAAGTGATATTATCATTACCTAATAATTATAATCAGGATGATCACTAAAACATAGTGACCTTATATATCTCTAGTTAGTTAAACAATATTTTCATACAAAACAAGCTGGCAGCAAATCTCATAGCTCTGGAGCCTGATTTCACTATTCCTCTTGTTCATTAATATTGAAAAACCACCTTGAGAAATAAATCTTTGCTGCCTGAACACTGAAATTTCAGTGTTACAATCTCACTGCTGTCACAATTTGTTATGAAATCAAGTCAAAAACGTATGCTATTAATACAGAGAATCACCCCCAGCATGCTTCATGCTGGATTCCACCATAAGAGACAAGACACCAGCTTGCAGTTTAGGTACAAAACCAACATCACCCCCATCTGAGGAATCAGTTATCTACAAAAGACAGTCAAAATGTTTGCTCTCATGAGGAATATCAGACTCAAGGCCACAAGCACAGAAATTTTACACCACCCTGAAAGTACCCAGGGCTTAAGCACTTCTGCTCACTTATCTGCAGACAAACAGAGTCGCTATCTGAAGGGATGCCTGACAAAGAGACCTTGCCCAAAAGGCTTAGAGGAAACTGTCATTTAGCCTGTTAATGTTAAAACTTAAAAATACCTCCCTCCAAGAGATAAAACTACAAAGAATCCAGGAAAGCTGGAAAATTCCAAGTTCTAAAAAAAATTGGCACAATGGAAGGAGCTCTCCAGGAAGTTCCAAGCACTGCAGGACCCCTAGAGATGGTTGGAGCCTGTCCTGCTACTAGAAATGACTATTGGAGCCTACATGCTTCACAAGGAATCCTGAGAACTGGCTCTTTAAGAAATTAGAGCCCCTGAACAGAGGATTCCTACAAAATTCCACATCTCTTCCCCATCCTTGGCTTTATCTCCAATTTTTTTTTGCTGGCCAGGGGAAAAGAGAGGAGAGAAAGAGGAAAGTGATGCATCCATAGGAGGTGAAGATGCTGGGGTGTGGGGTGGGTGACAGGGGCCAAACCCCAACTCTCACAGTCAAAGGAGAGCAGAAGGCACAGCCCCAGGAAGGGAGGAGGGAGGTGTAGGGCAGGAGCTGCTGCTGCCAGAGGCCAGTGGAGAGGGATTGTGGCTGAGAGAGTGGCACTGCTGCCACCAGAGAGCCTTGGCAGGGAGAGCAGACAATAACCCCGGAAGGGGGGAGCTCCAGGACCCTGGCCAGGCCAAGTCTCCTTAGCAACCTGGCTGTGCCAGGGGCTGAGAAGAGCTCTGGGAATTGTCTCTCCAAGCTTCCTTGTCACCCTAGCACAGATAGTTCAGGACCTTTCACGGGAGCTAAAAGCCAGAACCAAAGCCCATTGAAGTCAGGGGGAAAACTCACATGGAATTCAATGGGCTTTGCATAAGGCATCCGATTCATTGAAAAAAAAAGAAAACGAAAACTACTCTTATTTTCTGCTTTTGAATGTGCTTGTTTCCTCTCCTTGCAAATCTGTGATTCAAGTGTGGGCTAGAAAAATAAAAGCTTAATAGCAAATGCAAGACCAAGCATGGGTTCTGGGGACAATGGAGAGATCCTCAATTAAGGGGGTGAAGAGAGGGAGAAAAAGATTACCTAATTTTTAACTAGACACATTTATCAGAGCCTTTAATCGCAGTTTTGAAGTGTTACTGACTTCCAAGAGCTCATCTTGATGGCTGCCAGTGAGCAACTACAAAGGGATCCCCCAAATGATGCCTCTGAGCACCAGTTCTGGATCAAACCTGGTAGAGGTTCTGTGCATTCAGTCATCATTAAATGAGAAATGAAGTAGTTCCAGCTGTCACTGTACTGACTGAAAACACTGACCTGCCATATCCTCTTCTTCCTTTGCCCTGGTCAGCACAGCACCCTCAGCTCTATTTACTTATCTTGTCTGACTCCAAGCTTGGGAAATATTCAGCAGCAGCCTGGACCCTGTCTGGAGAAAACACCATCCACTCCCAAGCACCTTCCTTCAGATGCTGCAACATCTGTTGCTTTGGAAGATGCTAATTATGCTGTAAATTATGGTTCTCAAAAGCATCATACAGCATTTTAGGCCAGACTGTAATCACAGCCTCTTGCATTAGCTTTGGCCTCACATTGTAAACTTGCAAGCCTTAAAAAAATTCACCACAGCCTTTTCATCACAGGCTTGGACTGAAACATTCCCTGTGTTTCATCCTCACCAACGAGCAGCACTTTCCCACCATTCCCACTGGGCCATCTACCTAACCCAGGAGATCTCAGAAGGCTGCTGGGCTCTGGGA